AACGCGAGAATCTCGCATATTTTTTTCTTTTCTCGCATTAAAAAATGACTACCGCGAGAAATTCGCGCATTCTATAAATCAATTTCAAAATTCGCGAATTCCTCGCATTTTGAAAAAAGTTTCGCATTACGTCATTTAGAATAAAATCCGTTTCTTCTTTCTTCCTGTATCTTTCTTTATTTTCAACATCTGCGATGTTATCTAGCTTCCCTATTTAAAAGTATTGTTCTGAACCTTTAAGAACACCATCCCACGGAACCCCTTTCAGAACAGATTTCTCTGGACCGCGTGTTTACCGTAGGTAAGGTTTCTTCATGTAAGACGTTCAAATTTTTTGCGCATTAATATAAGATGGACAAATACCTTATTAAGGCACCATCTTCTACTCCGAAACGGACAAATGAAAATGAGGGTAGAAACGATCAAAACGAAACAAATACGGATATTATTCAGCCCTAAAAGAAATCAAAGACAGATAAGTATCAAGAGAAATGGGAGAAAATGTATGACTGGTTGGAAAAAGAAGAGAGAAATAGCATGGTTTACATGTTCTGCAAACTTTGCCGTAAATGCAAAAAGAAGAATCCATTTGGAAGCGGTAAGTTTATTCTTTTAATCATTAACAGTTAAATTCGTTCAATTTTAAATGTAAATATTTTAATATAAAATTGCATGTTAATTATGTAGATAAAATTAAAAATGCAAATATTTAACACCCAGCGTGTGTAGCCAGATTTTTCAACAAAAAATCAGCACCTTTTAGGTACTTTACAAGCATTAAAAAAATATTTTTATTCACTTTTCAAAAAAATTAATTAGGATCTGTGCAGTAATAAAAAAATTTTTCTTCTATCGTTTAAAGTTCTTAATTTATAAATATAAAATCAATAAAGTTCAAAAGAATTTCCAAAAACTTAACATACTCCATGATAAAATAACTAGTTTCTGATAAATATCGCAGAGAAAACCATGCTTTTTTGTAATTAAGAACTACATTCGACATGGCAAAGAAATAATAAATTCTTTTTAAAAGATAGAAAATTAAGCACTTTTTGCAATAAAAAAAAATTTTAAGGGATTTTAAAAAATGTAAATCAAATATAAGCACTTTTTAAAAAAGTTACGCACTCTGGAAAATATTTAGAATACTTATAGAATTTGCATGAAATATTTAAACACAGCTCAAAGTTTCAAATTTCTTTTACTTTCAAACATTTCCGTGTGAAACTAACTGGTAAATATCAGATGTTAATAAAAATTTCCAGTTCATAGATTTCATGATTATTTTTTATTATCCTAATGGAAGGAGATTTTCTTTTCCATACATAAATGTCTGTCTAATTGCGATTGTAGTAATGAGTGTTTCACTCAATCATTGAATTAATTATTGTTATGGCATTTAGATGCAGATATTTATTTATGAGAACGAAAACCCCGTTCCATCTGGAGTATGAAAAATAAATTATCAAGAAATCCAAACCTTCTTAAATTCTCTCTTTTGCTGAGTTCAGCAACTATTGAGGTAATGAACGGTGATGAATTCGTATCAGTTGATATACCATAGTAATAAATTTAAATTGCAAGCAGTTCAGGGTCAAATTATCGTTCTCTTTAGTGGGACTGTTTTTATTTTATTTTCTTCTCCCCTATTTGTACTTAACGTGACTCTTTTTTTCCGTTTTTATTCTTTAGCGATTTTCTTGTACTTAGCGTTTTAATTGAATTAATAAATAATAACTGTTTTTTTTCTCTTTGTATTTCCGCGATTTGCGTTTAATAGATAAGAATACGTTTTTTTTCTCCCTTTTTTTACTTCTCTCTTTTCGTTAATTTTTTGTTCTTTTGTGATTCGGATGTATTTTGCGCTTAAATTTAGTTGTAGTTTAAAAAAGTTTCTATTTCCGTATTTCAACGATTTAGATTTATTTTGCTTTATAACTAAAATGCTAGATCATAAATTTTCCATTTCCTTCCTATCGTTTTTCGTATTTTAGCAATTTGGATATATTTTCAATTTTCACTAAATTGTTTAAAACTATGTTGTTGTTTTTTTATTTCATCGGTATTTTGCGATTTGGATGTATTTTGCTTTTTAACTAAATTATTATTAAATTACAATTTTTTTTCTTTATTTTTATATTTTAGTTATTTGGATATTTTATTTTGGTTGGCTCAATTGTTAAGAACTACGTTTCCTTCCCACGCCTTTTTTGCGATTTGGAATTTTTATTTTTTCGTTTTAACTTAATCAATAGTTTAAAACTTTTCCTTTATCTATTGTATTATTTTTATTATCCGATTTAGTTTTTCAGCCGTCTTTTTTCCCCACATTTCGACGATTTGGATGCACTTCGTTTTTAACTTATTAGAATATAATTACTTTTTTATCCTTTTTTCACCTTTCCTTCATTTTTGTATTTCAGTGATTTAGATAAATTTTCAATTTTAACTGAATAATTATTTGGAACTTAAGTTTTTTTTTATTTCTTTGGTATTTTTGAAATACAATTAGTTTATTTTTGTTTGCTGCATTGTTGTGCTTTGATTTGGATATATTTTGTACTTAAACTAAATTATTAATAATTTAGTCATGCGTATTTTTTTCTTTGCAATTTGCAACCTCAGCAATTTGAATGCATTTTGTTAATTAACTGAATTATTAGTAAGGAACTGCATATTTCTTTTTATGCTCCGTTTTTGTAATTCAACAATTTTGCATGTTAATTGGATTGTTAGTTTAGAGCTAGTTTTTTACCCGCCATCATTTTTATACTTCAGCGATCTAGATATAAATTTAAACTTATAAGTCCTGATTAAGATCTAACAAAATAAGCGGTAACTGCGTTTTAGAAGCGAAAGCAATAGAAGTGTTAATTATATATTTCAAAAAAGGAATTTCATTTATGTAAAGAGCCGATTTGGTAAATATCGTATGATTGGGCATTTAGTATGAGAAGCTTTTACTTTAATTTTAATATAACTAATCCATATTAGTTCGGAGTAAGCTCTAATAATTCTTATTTTAAGCAAGATAAATCAAAGTAATATTACCCTATACAGGAATAGTCGTTGAGAAATCACTGTTTTTACTCTGATATGCACCTATGAAAATATTACTTCATCCACTTGTATCTACTATCACTTTGAATTGAATATTAACTAATATAAATATAGCAGCTTTGGATATATTTTCAATTTTGACTAAATTGTTTAAAACTACGTCTTTTTTTTTTATTTCGTCAGTAATTATTATTCGGTCGGTCGATAAATTTTACTGATTTAAAAAAAATTAAAATGTTTTTAAGATATACTGAATTTTTAAAATTTTCCTAGACGGCTGCACATCTTACAAAACCACTTCTCTACAAAGGCATAACAATTCCCATGAACATATGCAAGCTGTTGAAGCAGAAAACTGCCGGAAAGACATGAAAGTAGCCACAACAAGTGTTAAGAAAAAAAATGAGTCCTTCATAATAAGTTGTTTAAAGTCAGCTCTATTTTTAGCTGTTAATGAATTACCAAACTCCCTTTTCGGTAATTTACAGCAATTTGTAAAAATTCAAGGCTGTGAAAACTATGCTGGAAAACAAAGTGCGAAGTATGAACACGGAAATATCATCAACGAACTTCACTATTCTATAGCAGAAGTAATTGAAAAGCGTATGCTGGCAGATGTAGATGATGTAAAAGTGTGTGCCATCATTTGTGATGAAACATGTGATTTGGCTAAGATGAAGCACCTTGGTGTTAATATTAGATATGTCAAAGATGGATCTGTTGTTGTAAAGTTTTTGGATAATGTCCATATATCAGATGGAACAGCACTTACTTTAATGTCTTCTATACTAGATATGTTGAAGAATAAGAATATAAATATAAAAAAAATTGTTGCTTTAGGTTCAGATGGAGCTAATGTCATGGTGGGGAAGAAATCAGGCTTAGCTACAAGGTTGACAGAATTAAATCATTGTTTAATTTCTGTCCACTGTAGTGCCCACCGATTAGCTCTTGTACTTCAAAATGCTGTAAATGATATTCAAAGTATCAAGTCATATAATGATAGCCTTAAGGCAATATTTATGTATTTTAATGCATCAGCAGTGCGATCAGCAAAACTGATGATAGTACAAAAATTGGTTCAAGAGACTGCTCTAAAGTATCCCAAACTACATTCTGTTCGATGGCTCTCTCTCCATAGAGGTGTACAAGTTATTTACAAAACATTAGATTCTCTCATTCTTTTCTTAGAATCCCAAGTAGCTGAAGGTAAAGACTGCACATCCCCTGGATTATTGCGAGCCATAAGGCACATAAGGTTTATATATGTAACTCATATACTCAATGACATTTTACTTATATTAACAAAACTTACAAAATTATTTCAGTATGACACTGCAGATTTATCTTTAATTAAACCCTCGGTAGATACTGCTGTAACCAGATTAACACTCCTCAAAAATAATCCTGGGGATGTGGAGAAGTATTTTATTCAAAATTTAATCAAGGATCATAATCCTGATAGAAGTATTGCAATTAATGCAGAAAATGATGACATCTTTACCAATTCAGGAGAAAATAGTGAAGAATCAGGTGTTACTATTAGTACTGACGATGATTTGCCAATTCTTAATGGCCAAAGAAGGATCTCATATTATTCAGTTTTAAAAGAGAAAATGATACCAGCTTCCTCATTAGAAAGCCTCACTAAGCTAAAGGTTTCTTTAATTAATTCTGTTCTGGATGGTCTTAAAAATAGATTTCCAGAAAATGCCTCAAGAACAATTTCAGATTTTCAAGCTTTTGATCCATTGTACTTACAAACTCTCAGCTTTTCTGAAGCAAAGGAAAAGGTTAAATCATTAGCGAAGCATTTTTCAAATTATGTGAATGCAGAAAAATTATTGAAAGAGTATGATGATATTTATCTAATGATAAAAAATAGCTATAATTCTTTTAAAACTGCAAAGGTGGCTGAAATATTTTTGAGATCATACTTAGAAACATACCCTAATACATGCACAATGCTGCAAATTTACTTAGTGATTCCGATTAGTTCAGCATCTGTTGAAAGGTCTTTTAGCACACAAAACCGGATTAAGACAAAATATCGTAACAGATTGACTGATAAGCATTTGAGCAACCTAATGAGAATAGCTGTTGAAAAAGTAGATGTAGAACATTTTCCATATGACGATGCAGCGAAAATATTCAATGCTTTAAAAAATAGAAGATGTTAAAATTGTATTATAATTAATAAAATTATTTTTTTTCACGTCTATTTGTGTGTTTTTATTTTTTTAAAATTTTTTTTTATATTTTGAAATCTCACTTAACTTTTTGAAATCTCACCCTGTTTTTGAGAAAGGGTGAGAAATTCTCACCCATTTTTTTTCTCTGATGAAAACACTGACTCATCTCTTGGCAAAATTTGGTCATTTCACGAAAAACACTCAATTATTCCCAGGCAAAATTTTTTTTCTTCATGAAACTTCTGGGTTTTACAAACCTTAAATTGATCAGATCTTACTATAAGGTTTGAAAACCGGTAATTGTGGAGAAATTTATCAAGTTAATGAAGGTAAGAAGAATTAGTTGTTGAAGCTAGGCAATATTTAATTATTATCCATAATATTATCTACCCGAAAATAATTATTATCTATTTAATCATTAGTGAGTTAGATTTAACTAGCATATAAAGTATGCTTTATCCTCAGAATTGGCTGGTTAGTGCACTTAATTATTTTAAGGGGTGATTGTACACAACCAAAATACCAAGTTTCAATTCCACATTGAATTTCCCAAGTCGTGCAATTTCCAAGTAAAATAGGCAACTTTTCAAGTTTGTTTTAGGATTTTTTTATATGAAAGTTTGGAAAAAAAAATGTGGCCAAAATAATAGTTTTGATTTTTTTTTTAAATAATTAAATTGGATATCTTTTGACAGTTTCACATTTTTATTGCCTAATGAAAGTCCAGTTAAGAGCTCTTTGGAAAAAAAAAATTACAGCAAATCTAAGTCATACGTCTTTAAAGTTCAATCTTACTGAAAATTAGTAATCACATTTATTATGCATATTTCATTATTTTCTATATCACATCTCAGTACAATTGCAAATATATTTGAAGGTTCCAATTTAAAAGAAATAAAGAAAAATATTTATTTAATTTTGAACAAAAATAAGAAATGATTAAAAACTAAACAATATGAAAGAAAAAATGCTCACCTGTAAAAACATCTTTCGTAATTTTCAAAATGTCAGCACACTTAACATTAATATTTATTTCTATTGAAAAGCATGTAATTGGGGCGAATCTTATCAAATTATAATACATAATGGTTAACAACAAGATTTAAATTTTTAACATGAAGACAGATTTATTACTAATAAACCATCAAGGATAGGTTAGTCACAAATATGACAAAACCAACTATAGCGAAGTCAGTTTGATTGATAGAACATATAACTTAACAGAACAAATGAATAAATAAAAAATGGCTCTTAAGCTTAATCAATCCACAAATTTAAATTTAATTCCGATAGGTTTTATAAAGTTGAAAAAATGGCATAAAAGAAATTTTTTGACAGAGTGATAAGAGTGATCAGAGAAAAAGAATAAAAACTTATTGAAAGAGCAGAAAACTGCAGATCTGAGAAATAGTTTAATGCCTATATTCAATTAAAAAATTAAACAAAACATGGCTTACGTTTGTTTTAGAGCTTTTCTTCTTGGTGTTGCTGATTTTCATTTCTGAAAAAAAAAAAGAAAAAATATGCATATACTATAAATATATCTTTCGGAATTTTTTTTAATTTTCCTACTATAAATTTAAACTTGATAAATTTGTGAAACATAGTTAAGACTCATCATCAATACTTCATTATCATTCATCAATTATTCATTATCATTCACCAATAATTCACCCACTTCACAATCACATCTAGAGAGACTTACAACTGAGTTATGATGGTTTTTGAAAAATAATTTTTATCCAAACGAATAATTATGTTTATCACAACGTTTAAATAAAAAAAAAAAGCACCTACTGTTAGTAAATGAGAAGTTGAGATAAAAATTGCAATTGCAAAAATTTATCAACAAATATTCTTCTCTTATTTAAAAGAATAGAAGAAGTTACTATTCTTCAAGAGCAAAAATTACTACTAGTAATAAAATTACTACAACTAGGAAAAAAACGAAACAAAGATATTACAAGCCCAACTGTTAATGAAATGATTTCCCCCTTTAGAGCTACTAAAATCTCTGATAAAAATATTTTCTGTGATAATAGTTTTTTATAATTGTTACTTTTAAACAAACAATTGTTTAATACTGTTGTTATCATTGGTGCCCACTGTGGTATGTCAATAGTAATTACAATTACATACAGAACCATTTATCCGGTATCTAGAAAACCGGGGGAAATTTTGCTCGGTTTTCCCGAAATTTTGAACTAGAACGATTGACGAAAAAAGTGGAAATTTGACAAATCCTTGAAGTTGAGTAGAGGAGAATGTGAGGAAAGGGGCATTTATTTCCCTGTTTGTTGAGAGATAACTTTAATATTTTCCCCGTGGCCTTGAATATCTTTAGATCGAGAAGGTGCAGGAAAGGGATAATGCTTAATTTTCTCCTGTGTGTTCGAAAGAATCATTGTATTTCTGATAAGCTGCTGTTAATCAAACATAAAGAAGTGACATGTTGATTTCTTTTTTCTCTTTGATATAGGAGGAGGTGGGGTAACGCATTGCATGTGCATATCAGTGAACAGAAAGGGAAATAAAAAGAAAATATATCCCTTCACTTTACTAGGAAAAAGTAAAAAAAGTGAAAGGGAAATACGTAAATGATTAAAATACAGCTATTTTTTTTTTATTTATTTATAAAGTAGGAATGCAGTCAAGATGAATTTAATAATTTTAAAAAAAATCAGAAGAATTTTGTAAATTATAAACATAATTGACTGTGCTAGCGAGGGGGCGGGGATACAAAATCCATCAAGCCGGACTACTACTACTAATCTTCTTCTTATTTTAAAAATATGTTACTCTTTTTTATTGCAATTTGGGTTCAATAAAACATCGATTAGTGTTACTTTTTGGTCAATCCAGAAAACCGGGATGGTGATGGACCCGAGCATTCGAGATATTTGGGTTTTCTACTGTATCAGGATTCAATATTTGTTTTTTGTGTGAATTCGTATGTCATTAATCCATATTAGATGAGTGAATCTTCCTTCTTTATGAATTTCCTAAGTCAAATTATTACAATCATGCACAATAGCAGAAAATGGCTTTAAATAATAAGAAAATATGACGTTAGTGCTACAATAGCTGAATAGAATCGGAACTAATTAATACAACACTGCACAAAGTAGAATCAATGAGAAATATTATCAACAATTTCATGATCAGATATTATTAAATCAGCCATAATAGAATTACAAGTTTTATGAACACTAAATTTTATAATTATTAATTATGGCTTACCAGTAGAGGCATCAGAACTGCTCATGTCAGATAGTTCATCCTCTGACTCCTCAGACTAGAAAAAAATTAAAATTTTTAAGTTAGAAAATATTTTGTTTCCCATATAATTTCTAAGTTAGAAGCTAAATGCTTTTTCTTCTCCATCGAGAAAGGCAACCAAAATTTTAAAAATAAACCAGTTTCAATTTGAAACAAAAAAGTTGATAATAATTTAATCAATGAGTTTCAAAAGTGGTCATTTCCAACTAAATTAATTTACAGGAGAGACAAAAAACTGGATAGTTAAGTATCAGCTTGATATATAAAGCTTTTTTTAACTTTTTGATACTATAATATGAATAGTTACAAAATATTCAATTGCAATTGTGCGATAACATAACTTAAGTACTTTATTTTTAGGTCTTGCAAAAAAAATTACTTAACTTGTAGATAAATGAGAGCAAAAAATAGTTGTCAATATTTATTTATCATTTTAAATCAAAAGAGAATGAAACTTTTTTATGATATAAAAACAAAATTTTTAAAGCACATATTCATTTGTTTATTTTTTGATAAAATGTAAATTTTGTGGATTTTAGAAATTGGTATGATTGTTTTTATTTTGCACAATAACTTTCATTATAAACTTATGATTGAAAATAATAATTGAGCAAAAAATTATTATTTCTTAAGTATTATTAATCCTTACATTCATTTTTAGTTAATTTGAAATGCAAATTAGAGAATTTTTTTAGACGCCAATAATTAGTTCATAATAAAAAAAATAAGTAATAAGTATAAAGAAAAAGTAATAAGTATAAAAAAATAGTATCAAAATAAAAAAAGCTGAAATTATGAAAAGAAAAATGAAATGAATAGGTACTGGCTTGTTTTATTTTGATCTAGAATATCAATACATACTACTGCATACTGCTTAATAAATCAGCTAATATGCAAGTTTTATTTCTTACCTTAATGCTATGGATTTCATAATTAAACCTAGTGTGTCATCACCACAAAGTGGATCATCTTAATCTAACGGTGTGATACTGCTCAAACATTTTCTATTTAATTTTTTTTGTTAGAACTATTTTTCCCCATTATACAATAAAATTAATTATGAGCTGTTTTTTTTTCAACTAATTTTCTATATAATATACAGCTAAAGTAATAAAACTTACGATCCAATAGGCAAATAAAGTCCTCAAAGCTATTTTGAGCATTATAATTTGTAGCTTAATTTATATTGTGACTTAAATTTTTAAAATGCAATAATTTAATGTAATATGTAAAAGTAATAATATATTCTATATTATAATATTAATAAAACTATAATTAAATAGATAACTGTCTAATAAAAACTGAAACATATTTAACAAAGTAACTGTAAAATAAAGAATTACAAATTGAAAAATAAAGTTACAAAAAATGCAAAGATAAAAAAA